GGGCCCTCGGTGAAAACGGATTCCCCCCACGAGGCGGAAGCGGAAGGGAAGAGGGAGAAGGAGAAGGAGAAGGAAGGGGAAGGGGAAGGAGAAGGGGAGGAGGTGGAGGGGGCTCCCCTCCTGGCCTCCCCAGGCTCGAGCGGCCCCCCTTCGGCCTACACCCCCACCCTCGAGGAGGAGCTCGACCCCGTCTCGAAGCCGCGTGTGCAGTATTACCTGCGGCAGCTACGGAAGACCCCGGGGGTGGCGGTGGCGTTTAAACTGGAGGTCGCCGGAGGGGCGGTGCTGCACACCGCGATGTGGGATCTTCCGCTCCCGGAAGGGTGGGGCGTGCAGGACGCGAGGCTCCCCGTGCAAGGGGCCGCGCCCACGAAGCGGGATGCCGAGGTGTTGTCATGGATGCACGCGGAGCGGTGGTTGGATGCCCTTGGGATTCCGATCTTCGCGAATCTGCCAAAGCTGCAGGCCTGGCATGCGGAGCGGGTGAAAAAGCTCGGGCGCGCCGCCCCGAGTGGGCATCCGACCGAGGAGGAGCTCGTGGAGGCGAAAGGGCGCGTGGAGAGGATGATGAAGGAGGGCGGTCCCCTGCCCTTGCGCCTCACCGCCGCGGCGGGGAAGGGTCTGAGTCGACCCGGCTACCCTACAGGGGATTTAACGGCGGAGGCGTGGGGCGCCTACGTCGATGCCTGCTCGAACTACATCGCCGATCGCATGCTGTCTGGTTATAACGATCTCTTCGCGATTGGGCGGGCCCCACGCAGCGGCGTGGATGTCATGGATGAATGCCTGGACGAGGTCGAGTCGCTCCCGGTCGAGGCCGATGCGAAGTCGTTATTGCAAGACTATTGCACCGCCTCCGGAAGAGTCTATCCGGCGTTTTGGCGTACTCAGATTGTCGGCGTGAGTACCAATCGCGTTTCGTGGACGACGGTGCCGATCCCCGGCTATAGGTACCTGCAAGCGCAAGGGGTGGGGACGAGCAAGGAGATCTCGGAGCGGCGCGCGGCCATGCATGCCCTTGCCGTCTTATCGCGTGTGGATCCTAACTACGATGTCCATTCCAGCAACGCGAAGTTGACCAACAGAAGGATCAAATTGGATAACCGCTCCAAGAAGAGTGAGGCGGAGGAAGCTGAAGACGATTCGGATACGTTTGACCTCGATACCTTTACCATCCCGCTTATTGCGATCTCGAATAAAGCGTCTTCGGCGTCATCTTCTGATGATATCCCCGGGAAGACCGCGTCTGCGACGGGGAAAAGGCCAAAAATGCCACCTTTGTATGATAATCAGAGAGAGGAGTTCAACTCAGATGGAAAAATCCGTCTGGTGGAGCTTTTTATTCTTTCCCAGGGCGTCATGGCCCCGAAAATCCAGCACCAAGTTCGCTACGTTGATGGAAAAGTTATCTACAGCGCCACGCTGCATTTGACAGACGACGAGGGCAAAATTTGGATTGGCAAGGGAGACGGTGGGGGACCACAACAGAATGAGCGTAACGCCTATCTGGATCTTTTCAATCAACTCGAAAAGGGCCAGTATGATCAGTTTAATTCCTTGAAAGCCTTTTTCATTCGAAACCTTTCAATGAATCCCAAAAATATAATTGATATTAAGCTCACGCACGAACAAAAGAAGGCCATCCATGACGTCATTGGCTGCGTTCCAGAGCAGATCACGGCGAATGCCGCTGTCGGCAAGGATGCCGAAGGGGTTTTGGCAGAGGTATCGCAATCCTCCTTGTCGGGCGCGCAAGAGCATAAAGATAGCAGCATCAGTTATAGTCCCGGAAGAACAAGGTTAAGTATCGAGGAGCAGTCGCAAAGACTCCTCCAAAAACTCGAGAATAAAGTCAAGGATAGTGTGTACATCGAAAATTACGCCAAATCAAGAGAAAAGCTGAGCATTTACGCTCTCAAGGAGGAGATCATCCGGACGATCGAGAAGAGCCCTGTTACTATTATCTGTGGTACGACCGGCTGCGGGAAGACGACGCAGGTCCCGCAGTTTATTCTCGATCACCTCACGTTGGAGGGGCGTGGCGGGGAGGGTTCGGTGGTTGTAACGCAGCCACGCCGTCTTAGCGCCGTCTCCATCGCGCAGCGTGTGGCGGCGGAGCGCCTCGAATCGATTGGGGATACGGTTGGATATATCATCCGCTTTGATTCACGCCCGGGGAGCCACATTAACTTCTGTACCTCTGGAATTCTCCTACGCATCCTGAATAATACACCGAACTTTGAAGGGATTAACTACCTGATTATTGACGAAATTCACGAGCGCGATATCAACTCGGATTTCCTTCTGATTTTACTCCGCGACATTATCAAACAACGCTCGGATTTGCGCATCATCCTAATGAGTGCCACCCTCCAGGCGAATCAATTTGCCAGCTACTTCTGGAATGCACCCATCATTCATATCGAGGGCTACACCCATCCTGTGCAGGAGCTCTACATTGAAGATCTGGCGGCCTATGGTGAGCAGCATGGGTTTATGTCGCTTCTACTGAAGGAGGCCGTGCTGTCAAGGTCGCACACCACGACATTCGAACCGTTGGAAATGCCCCGCATCGACAAGGATTCTTCGACGCACAACACCAACAGCACCACCCCTTCTCTTAAGTACAACATAAGACAGGTAACGACCGAGATCGACTACCCGACGGTGCAGTTTGCGATCGAGCAGGCCGTGCGAATGGTCGACCTAACGCACTCCTCCATCTTAGTCTTTCTACCTGGTTGGGAGGAGATCATACGAGCAAAGGAGATCCTCGAGCGGAATCCGATGTATCACCTCGTTCTTCTGCATTCCTCTGTTGGGCAGGAGCAGCAGATGCGCTGCTTTCTTCCGGCCCCTGATGGAAAGATCAAGGTGATTCTCTCCACGAATATCGCGGAAAGCGGGGTGACGATTGATGATGTGGGCGCCGTCATTGATATTGGCCACACCAAGGAAAAAAGCTTTACGCCCGGTGGGCAGGCTTGGAAAAAGGGTAGTGCCTCCAAGAATGATTCGAATACCACCCCGGAAGGCGCTTCTGAGGGGTATTTAAGTGAATACAACAGTATTTCGCAGCTCTTGACGGTATATGCGAGCCGGGCGAACTGTGTGCAGCGACGAGGTCGTGTGGGCCGTACACGCCCTGGTGTTTGCATTCGACTCTACTCCCGCAGGCACTTTGAGCAGCTTCACGACTTCCAAACCCCGGAAATGCTTCGCACTCCTCTCGACTCTCTTTGTTTGCTGATCATCGCCCTTTGTCTGGGCGACCCGAAGGAATTCCTTGGCAGAGCCCTGGAGGCCCCCGCGGCAGAGGAGGTGGAGGTCGCCCTCAAGCGTCTGCAAGACCTCAGCGCGATCACCTCAGATGGAAAGATCACCGCGCTAGGGCAGCGCCTTTCCATCCTACCCGTGGAGCCAAGTATGGGAAAAGTGATTCTCATGGGCGCGGTTCTTCGATGCCTCGATTCCGCCTTGACGATCGCATCGCTCGTAGACGTGGATGTCTTCATGCCGGCAAGGGAGTACAAGGAGGCGGTGCGGCTCCACCGGGAGGATCTCTCCAAGGATACTCGATCGGATATTATCGGCTCGCTCAACGGGTATAATTATTGGGTGATGAATCACTACCAGAAGCAACCTGCCGCTGTGATGCAGGCGTTGGAAAGTCGGATGCTCAGTGTTCCGCTGTTGCTGACGGTATCACGGCATAAATCGCAGTTCTACGACATTCTCCACGAGAGCGGCTTCCTGGTGGAGCCGCCGCAACTCGGAGAGAGCAAAGAGGCGTGGTTAGCGCGCACGTCAGGTTATCATAACAAGGCTTCCCACCCATCACGTGGTATGGGTGAAGTTTTTTTCGATCGATCGTCACTTTCGTCGGAGGCCTCGAGTGTGGGGCTCGTCAAGTGCGTGGCCGCCTCTGGACTTCTCCCACGCCTCGCTATGAACCGCCAGCGGCGCTTCATGGATACCAAACTGGAACGTTTTGTCTCCACCTCCCCGGATTCCGTTATCCACCGAACCTCGCAGGAGAATATCAAGTATCCATTCTTTATCTACACCGAGCTGTGCAAGTCTGCAGAAACGCGGAGTCTGATACTGCGGGGCTTGACGAATGTTTCGCTCTGGACACTGCTGCTCATGGGCGGAAGCAGTGTCCCCATCATGTACGACGAAAGTCTGGAAATAGGCACTTTAGATGGGTGGATTTTCTTCCGCGCGACGTCCGGGACTATTGGGCTTATTAAAAAACTCAGAAAAGCGATCCAATACTGCTTCGCTCAAAAATTTACAGATCCACGCTGTTTTGAAAATGACCAGAATGTTGAAAAAATACGGATACTTATTAAAGATCTTGTGGAAAGCCCAATCAAGCCAAACAACTTGATCGATGATATCTGGGCGGAAACGGGCACCATCATCAACCCCACCGCAGAACCCCCCCACTCCGATTCGATGGCATCCGTAAACGAACCTGACCGTAACGAAAACAAAGCGACGGAACAGCACGTCGTGGATTAGGGTAAAAAAAAGAACTAAATGGATAGAGAGGTGATGATTCATTAGTCGAAGATATTGTCGGATCGAGACAAAAGCAAAGCCAACAAGAAAAACTTGTACTGAACCCAGATAACGATGGGGTTGTGCCCAGATTTTATGTGGGGAAAATGGAAGATATCTTCTTGTGCTTATGCTTCTGAATATGAAGCTGTCGAAATCCTTGTGAGGGATTGGCAACCT